AAAGGCTATGTGTTTTGATTGGACGTCTGAAGAACCTCCATAAACCCAGCGGAAAGCTATAGGAAGGTTAAAGCTGTGGTTCCACAGAAGAACATGGCCAGGCACTCAGGGTCTGTCTGCCAGCTGCCTGTGGGTCCCTTCAGGACTAACTATAGGATTTCAGGGCAAGGGCTGCAGAGGGAGGCAGTGAGATGAGGACTGTAGCAGTTGACAGTGTAAGCCAAGTCAGAGAAAGGGCAATTAACCTCCTCACAGTTCCTCTGTCCAGCCTCTAGAGATGTCTCTCTGCGGTCAGCCTTGGCACACAAGTGGGGAGTGAAAGAATGGAGACTACACAGCAGTGCAAGCGTCTTCAGAGAAATGAGCTCTGATGTCACTGGCTTCCTGTCTCTCAGGGGCATCTCTCTACCCTTAAAATGTGTGGCATGGAGGCTGAGCAGCCTTACCATCCTAGTGTGTAGTGAACACCCAACCCCACCTGAGGTCAAATACTCGTACAATGAAAATGCATTTTTGCAAAAAAAAAAAAAATTAAATTCACAAAATTCCCAGAGTCATAGTCAAACACATGTCTAATTCACTGGTTCCTCTCCAGAGGACTGGGACCCACCTGATACGTATGTATGTACCCTCGAAGACTTTTCCTATGTGCACAACCACATGTATGTCAGAACAGCATGGCTACGTGTGTTGGATGTGCATTACCATAATCAGTACTTTGGGTATTCACACTTAAAACATCATCGTATGCACTATCTCCAGGGCCTCACACATGCTCAGTAAGTGCTCCACACCGAACTGTGCCCATAAACCTCCAGATGGTTCTTTAAAGAGCACCAATAGGGAAAGCCAGTGGTTAGTGATACTTGAGTGCACTCAGTATCCCTGGACAGCTCACGGCCATCACAGGCAAAGCTTCCACAGGATGTACTAGAGCTTCTAAAATGAAATACAGTCAATTTCAACAGACCTGATGGTGGGCCCGGGGGCAGCAGGCAGAGAAGGAAGTTTGGGTACAGGACATCTTGTCTCATCTGTACTGGAGGGAAGCACACTGTTGGCAAGGGCCCAGTTCCCTCATTATAAAATATGTGCAATATACAGTTTATACAAAATCAAGAGCACACGCAAGCATGAGAAGCACTGTTAGAGCTGAATGCTTTCCCATTGGTGAATGTTATTGGGATTCACTGTCTTTTCTTAACCACTCCCATTTTGAAAATGATTTATTCCCCTAGAACTGGAGTTACAGACATTTGTGAACTGCTAAATGGGTGCTGGGAATCGAACCCGGATCCTCTGGAAGAGCAGCAAATGCTTTTAAGGCCTGAGTGATCTCTCCAGCTCCAGTCCACCCTCATTTATCCCGGTTTCTTTTGTGCGTGCGTGTACACACATGCTGGAGGCCAGAACAACAGCACTGGGTATTCCTCAGGCACCATCCACCTTGCTTTTCTGACAGTCTCTCACTGGCCTGCAGAATTCATTCAGTAGACTAGGCTGACTGGCTAGTGAGCCCCATGGATCTGTCTTGTTTTTGCCACCCCAGAGATGGGATTACAAATGTGTGCCACCATATCTGGCTTTTTTTTTCCTGTGAGTTCTGGAGATCAAACTCAGGTCTGTGTGCTTGCAACTGAACTATCCCCCTAGCCTTCATCTTGCAACTTTTAAGCCATGGGCACTGACCTTACACAGGCTCAAACAAGTGAATGTGGGGGCCATGAAAAAAATTGCCAACAGTAAAAACTTTCTGAACACACACAAAAATTAATTCAAATTAAACACATAACGAATACGAATCCAAGGTACTGTCTGGCCTTGGATGTATGAGGCCTCAGTTATGAACACACATGTCCATTTGCACTCTGCATGCCACCATGACACATAATGCCAGTGAACACTTCCTGTAACCCCGAGCACAGACTTTTGACTACTGTAGGTGACAAACTGCAGCTCTGTACTCTGTCTAAGGCTTTCTGCTCTTAGACAAATGC